ACTTATTATTTTACCGAAGCTTCTTCCTTTCGCTAAGGAATACGCTATTCAACAACCGAATACAATTGTGTAAGAAGATAAAGCCCTAGCGTATAATTATTATATTCAACAGTGTATATTTAACGCAGCGCAGGTACAAAGATTACTTTAGTGCCCTAATTCGCCTGATTTTAATGCGATTAAGCCTGCGTAGCTTTGGATAAAGCGGAGGACTACACGCAAGGGAGCACCTAAATCGTAGCAGGAGGCGGTTACTGTATAGCAGGTAGCTTAGCGAGAACTACTGCAGGAGAAGATCTAGCAGTGGATTAAGCGTATTCCTTAGCATATAGAGCAGATTATACAGCTCGAAGGGGGAAACGAATATAAAGAGGGCGGGGAGAAGAAGTAGCAGGAGAGCGAGCAGGGTGATTGGGAGGATATGTAAGGTAGTAGGGATTGGAAACCTGTAATACAGTATTTTAAGTATTGCTGGTCAATGCGCTGCTTATTTCTTTTGACGTGGACCTCTGTATAGTTTGTAGATTACTACTAAATACGCTAGCAAAATAATTGTTCAGTGAAGTTATACGTAAGATCCTAACTTACTAATTCTAAGTATTAAAAGTTCAACTACACTAATTGTCGGACTAGAATAGTGGATCGAAGGACGGAACGGTCACATGATATATCTAATAGGCCAAAAATGCACTCTAGGCGGCAGATCCAGCTTTCTTAGATATATACGTTCGCGTTGTTCAGGGTCCGATGTATTTCTCATTCTTATATACTGACACTAATTACCCTAAGTATATTTCTAAGAAGATTATTATTATTAATTAAATCCCTAATTCTATACCTTATTTAATCACTAATTAGTTGTTCGATTTAAGAAATATCTTCTATTAACCTAATTATAATTATTATAATATAACTAATATAATAAAACTAGGGTAACCCTGTTGGCACGACCTCAAAACCCTGGCGGTACGACCTTTTACCTGATTTCTGCCTGATTTTTGCTAAGCCTTACATACCTTACAATTACCAATTCAACCATCCTCTTTCTTCTTACACACACATATCCTTTAGCCTACCCGCAGGCCTTAGCCTTGGCATCCCCCATCAAAAAAATCCAGGCTTAACCTAACCCTATAGGTTAAGGGTCTTCCACGTGATAATTCTAGGATATTATATGACATTTAGGTAGAACTAGCTATCAGATTAAAAGATATAAAAGATCCGACCGAAAAATATCAAGATTTCGGGTACTTAGGGGGGTGCGAAAAAAATCGTGTATCCCCCTACTCCCCGGTGCATTGCCTGAATATATTTAAGGTCATATGATTATAGTAGTAGGAGGTTATGTGATAGGCCTAGTAGAAGAAGATAGAAGAGAAGAAAGAAAGGATGCGTGTGTGTATAAGACGAAAGAGGGTGGTTAAATTAGTAATTGTAAGGTATGTAAGGCTTAGCAAAAATCAGGCAGAAATCAGGTAAAAGGTCGTACCGCCAGTAAATCGAGGTTATGCCAACAGACTTACCCTATATAATCCCTACACTTTTCAAAGCAAGATTATACTAATAAACAACTAACAATTAGATAAGCTACGCATATTACTCTTTGATAGGTATATTACGTACTTATCTGGTAAATTCCTTGAGTACTATAGGTAAGCTAGAATCTTACCCTTCTGCTTTATTTCGTACGCTCTGTATCTCGTCTAGCCTCTAGATAGTGATATATTCCTTATATATAAGACTAAATTTAGAAGCTAGAATCGTATAGTATCTTAATAGGGTAGAGATCTAACTAATAAAGCAGTATTCCTACGAGGGATTCGTGAAATTTATAACAAGGCCTTTATATTAAAAATTATTCGTAGGAGCTTTAGAAAGCAAGGGATTTACCTATTTAATCCTAATTTAGTAGTAAAGCTACTTACTAAGCGAGAGGAGAGGGAATTCGTACTACTTACAGGCTTCGATAAAATCTTTAGTAATAATACGCACAGGACTAAGCTATAGCCTCTGTAGGGTAATCGGGATATCTTACCTATTCTATTATTAAGCTCGATTAAGGAACCGGAAACCCTAAGAAGTGTTAAAAAAAGCTAGCAGAAGCTACGAAAGGCTATAGAAAGCCTACTAGATCGACCTAGTAGAGTTAAGAAGGTAGAACGGCGCTAGATACGCTTAGAAACGAAGACTGTTACTAAATTCGAGGAGGTTATTACTAAGGATAATCTCCTTACTAAGTCTACTAAGGTCCGCAGCGAGTACATAAATACTAATCGTATTAAGCGGCAGATTACTAAGGTTAAGGTTTTCACTACTAAGGATAGTAATTCGCGTATCGCTATACGTACTAAAACAGAGAATCAGCAGTAGGTGTAGCAGGTACGCAGGGAGAATACGAAGAAGCTTGCTAAAGAAGAGGCTACAGTAGCGAAATTAGCCGAATTGAGGAGAAAAGCTCTTACTAACAGTGATATTAATCGTCTATTTAAGCCTTTTGATCTCTTTTTTGAAGATAGAGAAGGGGATAGCTCACTAAGGGTATAAATAGTTAGTGCATAGGGGGATTAGCTCTCCAGGCGCGCGAGTAGTATACGCGATATTCGCGCGCCAAAGCAAAAGTCTTTTGACAGCGCCCACGGCACTGCTGGCACAGGAAGCGAAGAGAGGGAGAGAGGGAGACTGAGTCAATTGGTCTATCTAGAACATGGAGACGAAGACGACTAGGAAAAGGAAGAAGAAGCAGAAGGGAACAGAACAGGGTCTATAAGGCCCTAAAGCACAAATAAAAGGAACAGGCCTAGTCCTGACAGGAAAACCCCGGCCTGCTTCATGCAGGGCCAAAGGAGACGACAAACCCTGCAAACCCTCGAGGTTAAAGGGATCGAGTCATCATCTTTGATTTTTATTGCTTTTATAGGCTTCTAGATCGTTGCTAATTCAATCCTTATTATCTATATACGAATTGCTTATGGTGGTGGCGGATAATTTGGGTGCGAAGGTGGTAAATGGGGGGATTTTTGGCGTTGGAACTTGGACTACCCAAACCCGGTAGGGGTTGGGTGGTCAGTGCCACGAGTATCTGGCAGTAGTAGATAGGAAGTTGAAATATCAAAGTTTTTGACAAGTGGGGTGGTTTTTGATAAATGGGTGGACCCTCGTTAGCGAGGGTCCGTAATTTTGGTAAAATGTAGGGGCCGGTTAATCCAAACCAAACGAATTTGTCCTCGAAATCACTACGACACGAACACACATTTAAGATGGCCTTAGGAATCTTCAATCTTCTTCTTAGCTCTTTTTTAGTTATAACTCCCTTTTGCGACGATACTCGTTTGGACACCTATATTTACTAAAACTGTGGACATTCGAAGTGGGTGCGGCACCTACGCCACTCGGGTATTACGCTAAAGATCAACCCTTAAATATCTCCAAGCTCCCCTCTTCTCATCTACCTTTCCCAGCCCAAAGTTTCTTCAGTTACAACATAGATTCTTTCGAGAAACTGCCCCCTGAAGTCATTCAACAGATTCTCGCCAATATCGGTGATTTTGCAGGCATTGAAAACAGCCTGTTGGCATCTCGACGACTCAATACCGTCTTCCAGGCCTAGCCTACCCGTATTATACAAGAGCTGATCCTCTTAAATCCGATTACTTGTATACCAGAAATACAAAAGCTATGCTATAACATCGGGCACCTCAGTATCTCTTCACTGCAATGCCCGGATCTTAAGCACTATCACTAGATATACGAGGATCCGTTAACTTTAGGGTACACAGAATCACGGTATATACTTAAGATAGGCGCGCAGATCCAGCGGCTAGCGTGCAAATGTCTCTCTATTATGCGAGAAGGTCTCATCAAAACTCTTGATAATATCCCCGCGGATTTAATAAGTAGACCTCCACTCCAAATCCAAAATACCAGCCAACCCTTCACCTAGACAGAAGAGTATCGCATATACTAGGCTCTCTAGCATCTGTATCACTACTCCTACCTACGCAAAGCAGCAACCCAGCGATAGAACTAGACAAATCCTTAATCCGCGAACTAGACGTATATAACACCTAGAGCGAAATCGACTATCGCACAGCCGAAAGACTCTAGACAGTATCCGCTGTCCTTTTAGATCTAGGTCTAACCCTGAAATAGCTGCCTAATAACCTAGAAGCAGAAGAAGAACCCGCCTAAACTATCTAGCCCGCTCCGGAAGAAATATCAATACCTTTCTTCCTATTATTTAACCTACTACCTACACAGTCACAAGATAGCAGCCTCTAAGCTACGCTAGATCCTCCCGAGAACACAGAGTTAATATCCGCCTAGATACTCGCGCCGAGACACTGTGCCTCGTATTACTAGCACGTCGCACACCTCTATCTTAGTGGTATAATTCTCACGCGGACCGTGCCTGTATGCTATTCGCTAACGAACATAAAACCGTAGCGACGACTCGGTTGGGTTATCTGGGATAGGTAGCGTATGTATTCTATTAGATTGAGTAATATCGCTCGAAAAAAAAAAATCCCCCTTCCGGATGGCGGTTTCCTTAAACCGGAGCCGCGGAATCCGAGGGATCGGAAACCGGGGATTGATTATGTGGCTGGGAGGAGAAGCCTTGAGGGGACTTTTGGAGACTGGGGATAGGGTTGATGGGATGTTTTGAGGGATTTTGAGGGATTTTGGGGGGGGGGGGGGGATATAGAAGTCATAATCCTCCAGGTTTGATCTTGATATCAACGTGGAACCTTCGAGCTATATGATCTCAATATCCATGGATATTCAAGTACTACCTACGACCCAACTCTCCGTTAAGTATGTGTACGGTTACGAAACAATATAGTTCCACAGGCCGTAAAGTTGTCCGCGTGGACTTGTGGGTTCTTGTATTTCGCCATTTGGCTTTCATTTTATGTAGCACTAGATGTTGTTATATATATGATTTCAAGATCATACAGAAGGATATAACGCCTTTATTTTCTCTATGCCTGCTTCCTTTCACAATGTTTACTATACGACATCTCTTTCTCCGACTCAACGATCGCAAGCAACGGGACCTAAAAAAGCGGTTCAACTCTCTCGATATTGATTAGATGGCAGTTGAGAAACAGTTACTTGTGTGGGGTAAGCTTTATACCCGGGGTAAGGAATTGAGACTCGTGATTGTCTTCCACTATATAGAGGACGGACCTTTCTAGGAGCGAGAAACGGGGGAAGTCGTCTGTCACTAAGAAGATGCTCAGTAAGTGAGACACACAACTTGATACCGAAGAGTACGTATCTAGGCTACAGTCGATCTAGCGGGCTGTCTACAGCTTAATGCGTTCCCCTTCCCTACCCTGCCACCTAGGCCCGCATTGCTAGCAGGATCCTAATAGGAAGAAACACTATTAACTAAGTGAAACGCCTGATTGCTTACGTTGAAGGTAGCAGCGTTTTGGAGTGCTAAGATAATGGTCCTGACACTATTCGTGAAGAGCTCTATATAGAGGAGCAGCACAGGCTAGAATCTTCGCAGTCTAAGAGCAATAAAGGAGCCGTCTCCGGAAGGTGCCCGCCGATCAATATCAACTTTATAGGAACACAACCTTCTCTATAGCTAGCAGCGGTTACTCCTTGTTATGCAATAACAATAAAATGTGCGCTACTATATATATTGGCTCCTGGGTTATATCCGCTGATCGCGGATATAGTGGTCTTTTTGGCCTAAGTGTATGATCATGTGACCCAGGCATGTATCGTAACACTCCTATAGCGGCGTCCGTCCTACCACCCCTAAAAAATAGGCAAGAAATTGATCAGCTCATAATCGACGGACCCCGAGATATAGCTGTGAGAGACTATAGTGTATAACAAGAAACAAACGTCATTAATAAAACCCTTAAGGCCCAATTTCGGCTGCCTTATAATAACACGCTTACTAACGGCTTAGATCTTAAACAGATCTATAAGGATTATGATACAGGATTCTTCATCGAAAAAGGAGTTGCGGTAGGTATCACACGCCGGTTCGTAGGCGATATTAGTAGATAGGTAAGGGATATAAAGGATTAACTACGCAGGTTTACAGTACGAATACGTAGCAGGCGTTATGTTATTAAACGTAGATTTCGTATTTAATAGCCCGCTATTGATTTATTGCGATTCAGTGCTATCTAAAAAAATATAAAATATAATACTAGCTCTTCTGCCCTATATCCCTAGGTTATCTTTAAGTATAATATTATACTGTTACTTAATAATATTTTCTATAACTACGCTAGTATACCGGAAATAACCGATTACACTCCGTTCTCGAGATCCGATAGCTTTAATATATCCCTCGAGGGATATATCGAATCCTTAATCAGGGCTTTGTTTAAATTTTGCTAGTACCGCCGAATATATACCTTTAGCTTAGAGAAAAACTCCTCTATAGGATTAAGATTAGGTGAGTAAGACAGCAGATACAGCAGTTTCACACTAGTATCTGCATATATCCCTTTTATTCGATTAGAGTAGTAAAAAGAGGCGTTATCTATAATAATTACAGACTTCGGTTTAGGCTATTTCCTATAGTGCTTAAGAAGCTGCTGAATAAAATCCTCGAAAACGGCTGTATTAGTCGAGCCTTAGAATACTCGGGACAGGATAACACCGTCTTGTGCGTATACTAGTAAGATCTGCTATCGCTGGTTACGATAGAATTTAGATACTTACAATAGCGTTAGACCTAATAGAGACTAGCCGGTGCGTCTGAACCCGATTCGTTTATCGCATCTAGACTTATCCACGAACACTAGATAATACGACTTAAAGTTAGATAGATTATACAGGTAGAAATCTCGTAGATCAGCGTTTTGTTCCTTTGCTCTCTGTCGAGCTACCTTTTTCGACTACCTGACCGAAGCAAGAGCCTGCTTAAGACTCGAGCTTGTTACCTAAACACGAAACTTACCCTAGAGGAAAAGCACTATCTTATCTATATATAATTCAGGCTTCTCGAGAAGGTAGTTACACAAAGTCTAGATTATTGGGGGCGTAGTGCTTCGTCGCCGGCTGACACGAGTTAAAGAAGCTCTGACATTTCCGAAAAGGCGAAGATTATTACGAATATTAATAATAGAGCGCTCGCTACACTTAGCGGCTTCGGCTATCTGTGATATAGTCAGGGATCCGCTATGTATTATATAACGAATTATGTCCAGCTTGGATAGGGGTAATCGAGGCGCTATTTTGGTAGGGGGGGTAGAAGGGGGCAGAGAGTGTCGTTAACGCGCTGTGGGGGTATATCCTCTATGCTTACCCCGCTTACCCTGCTTACCCCTCTGCTTAGTGGGCAGATAAAATATTTATCTTGAAAGTCCTAGGGGATTCTGGGGTATTAGGAAATACACGTAACTTAAGGTCCTTTTTGGTTCCTAGGAAGGTGCTGGTATTTACTCTATCAGAAAACTTCGGGCGTTGATCAGTGCTAACACTGAGTATTAAATGGCTATATCTAACCTCAAGAAGGCAAGCTTACAGTACAGCTTTTGATAAAGAGGGAAAACGGTATCTTTGAAATGACGTAAATGCTATTTAACCCCTAGATAGGGGATTGTTTTCTGAGAGTGCGAGGAATATGACACGACCTGATGAATAACCAATTGCTACCTTGCCTGCAGATATACCGAATGAAAAAGGATTGGATAGTCGATACTCTGGAGGCAACTACAACAGGATTGATCTATTAAAGGTTATCCAGGAGAAGTCGTTACTTAAGCTAAATCTATATATTTCTGGCAAGGTAAAGCCACTAGCGTCGGGCACTATAGGCTCAGTCGACCCTAGATTTAAGGTGCTAAATATTGTAAAAAGATAGGTGGGCGTGCTTTTATTAAATTAGAGGAAATGACGAGAGTCAATACTAAGGGTAGACACGCATTAGCCGGTGGCCGCATCCCAGATCCTGATAGTCTTATCATTCGACGCTAATGCGAGTCGGCTTCTATCTAGCGACTAGGCAATCGAGTTAACCTAGTTACTATGCCCCTCGAGGGTAGACGCGCACTAGCCGGTGGCCGGATCCTAGATCCTAATAGTTGTATTAGTCGACTCTGATACGAGTCGGCTTCTATCTAGCGACTAGGCAATCGAGTTAACCTAGTTACTATGCCCCTCGAGGGTAGACGCGCACTAGCCGGTGGCCGGATCCTAGATCCTAATAGTTGTATTAGTCGACGCTGATACAAGTCGACTTCTATCTACCGACTAGGCAATTGACCTGACCTCGTTACTATACCCCTTAAGTGTTTAAAGATATAAACTCTAGCTTTTATCCACTACTAGGCTGTTTAAAATCTAACCTAGTTTCTCGTTCTGATAAGACGTCCTCGTAGTACTTAGAGTTAGGCTAAAGACGAGTCCTGAACAGTATACTTAAAGGGGGCTGTTTTCGATCGTACGTCTGTAGTATCGAATAAATCGGGACGTATCTGTTACGCGTTGCCGACTGGTCACTGTGAGTTAGAATGTCCACGGGTTATACTTGCCTGATTCCAACTGCGGGTTCCAAGAGTATCTCGCAACCGTACCGATGCTATGCAAAGCCTTACGTCGGGTTCGGGTCCTGTTGAGTATCTTGCAGAACGTGCCAGAAGTGCGCGCCAAGTAAGTCAATCACTAAGTGTTGCCACTAGGTGAATCCCCTACTTGTAGGTTGGGTTGTCTTAAAGGTGAACTGTGAAGTGCAAAGTACTGAAGGTAGTAACCAAGTAACAATGTGAGATTGATCGCGAAGAACTAAATACATGGTGCTGAATGAGTGTCCTTATATTTCCAGTCCATCCGATCCCCAGCTATGACGGGTCATAGCCTTAGCTATGCTCGGGTCAGACCCTCGAGTATGATCCGATCATATAACGTGATACTTCCCTCATACCCTGGGATATGATGGGTCACGTGATCGTTGGGCTTCCTGATAACGTAACAATTGTGCCTTGTAACGTTATCCAATCCCAATCCTTGCTGACTGATCCAAGTTGATTGGATGTCAGTGTTTCCTTCCCCCGCATTAGCGCTGTTGCGTGAGAGTCTCGTAACAGTATCTTAAACTCGGCCTAGCAGGTACTGTAACACTCCTTTTTTCTATAAAGTATCCGGTTAAAATTAAGAGACTTTCGGAATTTAAATAAACACTTATATAGAGTAAGCCCTCTAGCTTTAGTATAGCGGTTATTCCTTCTGGTATATATCCCAAAATACTGAGGCTTTCGAGCTAATAAAGATATTTCTGCTGTAGAAACCTTTCTATACAGCCTCTATTATTAAGGGTATAATACTCGTCTTTACTACACTAACCTTCTAGGAGGTAGTTAACCTAATATATATAGGGTCGGGTTAATGGCACTACATGAACGTTACTCGCACTACAAACTAAACCACTTTCGGACGACCGCCAATCCACCCGCAAAAGGTACTTGCTACCTTTGCATAAACTCTGCCAATCCCTTATGTATACATACTGCTATGCATAAGCGTCTCCTGCGGTTACTTTAGAATGTCACCTTGACCTTAACCGTGTGGTTTTTGCAACCCGCGGTAATAAGGTTATTAGTGTTGCTATAACAAATAGTGCTGCATAGTAACACCCCTTCTACCCCAAACCCCTTAGCTTATAAACTCGGATTTCCCTATTTCCCTCCATCTTTTCTCCTTCTATCTAAATCGCTCAAATCCGTAGAGTTTATGAAGTAGGTACGATTTCCTAATTAGGAAGCTGAAATACTAAGGAACAGGTCGATTTCACTGGCTCTTTCGCCCTCCCTTTATACCCTTCACGCCCTTTACACCCTTTATACCCTTTGCAGCGCCCTTCGCCCTATTTACACGCCTAATATAATCCGTTTTATTCCTTACAATCTCGAATCCAGAGGGATCCCGCTTCTTGGACCGGGATAACTGCGTTGACCGGCGGGTTACTGCTTTATGACAGGTATTGGCGATTTTCTGGCGGGCAGCGGCAATAGCGGCCTCTTTCGCTGCTACTACCTTAGGATCCTTTCGAGCGTGATTAGCTGCTCTAGCAGGCCGACCACTTACTTTGATATTCGCAGGGTTATTGATCCGAAGCACTTGCTTCAAGTAAAGTGGCTAGTAATCATCTTTAGTCGATGTTAGCAACTACTACTGCTGATAGAACTGCGACCTTATAAGAGGCTTATTGCCTTTTAGGGCTACTAAAATCTCGTGAATACAGGGTAATCCGAGCGCCTACCGATAGTAGTAGGTGCAATCCACTACTATTAATTTATTCGCCTAGTATATAACTAGCTGCCGAGCAACGAGCTGTAATATATACAGGGCTACTTAACCTAATACTAACCGGAATAAGGGAATAAGGAGGTTATTAGGGAGCTTTTGATAGTCTTCCGCGAGCGATTAGTTGATTTTAATATAGCGCTCCTTAGCTGCGGTTCGAACCGTATATATAACACTTAATAAATCACTAACTGAGGTTTTGGTGAATTTTTTGAGATATGTATAGGCCCCCTCGACCCGGGAGGATAAGGTTTCTTCGAAGTGGAGCTTTTGGTTAGTGTAGTAACGGAGAAATCGCTGCTTTATACTATCCTTTATCTACTAATTAGTGATGTATTGAATTGCTTCTGCAAAAACCTTGTGTTTGAATTCCTTTTTAAAGCTCTTTTAACAAGCCTCTATCTTATATACTGTAGGTATAAAGATAACTTAATTAAAAAGCTCTTTCGCGGATTACTAACGCGTATTTGTTTCTAGTTAAACGTCGCCCTCTATCTTAAGATAGACTAGTATATACTACTAGATTATTAGCTGTAATCGCTTCTTAATATTTATCTAAATATACTATATATATAGTAAAGCTCTTGTATCGGGTATAATAGTATTAAGGGTAGCTAATAAGCTTTCCGTATTATCGGAGAATATAGTGGTAGGAAGGGGGATCGAACAGGAATATAGGAAATTATATAGCTTCTCTAATACCTAGCGGTAAGAGCCCTCCTTTTTATTAGAAACAAAAGCAACAGTAATATAGAAAGTGCCTCTATTCGCTGATCTTCCGACGATATTAACTATAGGTATCCGAAAGCGATTAGTCTTATAGGTAATATTAATCTATAGTAGAGAAGGGTATCAAGCTAGTAGGTTAAGGCCGGATTAAGAGACGTAGATAACACTCCGAATACGCTATTGACTGCCCGCCTCTGTATCCTAATCGAGTTCCTAACTATCTAGGCCTAAAAGAAGAGCTGCTATAGGTGAGTAGCCCTTAAGTAACTCCCTCCTCGCACGATAACAAAGGTTGCGGATATTTCTTCTGTTAAGGCAAATTAGAGCGCGGTAAGGGTTAATTAGGTCGGCACTAGATTTGCAACTAGCTCCTTCGTCGAGGGCTTTCGCCTTACGTAAAATATCGAGTATTTCTAGGTTAGTACGACCCTCTATAAATAGGCGAACTACCCGGTCTCTAAGACCTTTAAGCTAATAGCGGCGGTATATTAGATACGTAGATAGTTCAGAGGCTATATAGCTACTATAAGAGCCCTCCCTGACCTTAAGGAGCTAGCCGCCCTACACTTTAGATAGATATACAGCGAAGTAGCAGCTGCAGCGGCGAGAGGTAAAAGATCGCCTGCTAGATAGAGGTTTATCGTGCTTTACGGGTAGGCCGCTGCGATCGTAATATAGGTAGGCCGATTAGTCGTTCGAATTCTTTACAGTAATAGCGTATCCCTGTAGGGCGGCGTATCGATTGAGGAGAGCGCGGGCTTCCTGACTAGTAGGTACCGGGATTAGCTAGTTAGTCGGGGGCGGTAGGAGGCCACTAGGTAGTAGAAGGGTTAAGGCGATTGGAAGGAGGGTAGGGTCGGGCAGAAGAAGGGCTATATTAAGCACGGATTTGAGCGATTTGGATAGCTTCGAGGGCCTGAGGAGGAGGATATTAGTAAGGATTCGGCTGCTTCAGGGGCCTCTAGGGGCCCCTGAAGATATAGCTGCTCTAGAAAGCAGTAAACTATAGCTGTTGCCGAATAAATAGTGATGGTATACGGAATGTAGCGATTTAGGAATGTTGGAATGTTAGAATGTTGTAGAATTATACTCCGTACGGCGGTTGTTATGGCAACACTAACGAAATCACGCGGTTAAGGTCGAGGTGATATTCTAAAGTAACCGCAGGAGACGCTTACGCATAGTAGTATGTATATATAAGGGCTTGGCAGAGTTTATGCAAAGGTAGCAAGTACCTTTTGCGGGTGGAGTGGCGGTCGTCCGAAAGTGGTTTAGTTTGTAGTGCGAGTAACGTTCATGTAGTGCCATTAACCCGACCCTATATATACGCGTATTTTATAGCTAATAGAGGATTCGAACGTAGGTGTGTGACTTCCTCGGTCGGAATTCTAGCAAACCTTATATTAAGGATATTATGCTAAAGTGTCTTGAATATAGTTTGTAGAGATCGTAAGAAAATTGTAAGATATTTCGCTTCTTAGTCCTCCGGAAATATCTCGATTCGCGCCTTTTCTAGCAGAAACTCCTTTACAGATTAATAGACGAAAACAATAACGTCCTTACGCTAAGTAAGGAACGAGCTACAAATTGCGATAATCTCCAGTAAAGCTTTATCGTTATCGGAGAGATCATTAGGTATTTCAACTAGGGCAGTTAATTCGTTAAGAGTAATAGGCCGATACGCAATTGATATAACAGCCAGTATTCGCTTATAGAGCTCAGTATCTTCCGACTTTCTAAACTGATCAATCATTCGACTGTATAAAGTATCTAGTCCAGACAGGAACTCCTTAAGCTTCTTTAGGATATACCTCCGTGATACTTCCGGTCTAGCAAGAGCTTCACAAACGAGGGCTACCCAGAGGAAAGTGCCTTATGAGTGTGACAATAAATAACCGTAAACATCATCGCGGAGTCATTATACTTTTTAACTTCTGCCAATTAATTAACCTTATACCGAATGAACTGTAGCACAGCGTTAGATACGGATATCTCGTTTAACTCTAACAAGATAGGCGCTATCTGAGTTGTAGTATTCAGACGCTCTTCGATACTAGGCTAGTTGCGGCTCGAGACAATCTACTTTACGTATAAGTAGGTGGATAATTCCTGGACAACTAAGCCCAGAAGGAGAGGGAGGTTTGTTGTTGTTATGATATACCCTAGCATGAGGTTATCCCTAAGTTTTAGTGCCTTAGGCTTCCCGGACCTAATAAGCCGGCAGGCTTTCTGTAGAGGTTCGCTAGGGCTTCGTTATTAGTACGTGTACGAACTCCTGCAGGGAACACCCTTAACAGAGGTTATATAAGCCTTGTGTTTCACCCCGCTCCTATTTCTCTACTAAGGATATATCTCCTTCCTGTTTAAGCGATAGGACTATATATAAATTAACCTATATTAAAGAGGTTTTACAATCCTTAAGAAACAGATTTTAGCTATCTTACACAATTAACTTAGTCCCTCTCTCCTACCTAATTGATAGGCCTCTATCCTAACTTATAGAGTATATCCTTATAATTTCTGTTTCTTCTTCTTCGATTACCTAGGAGAAATAGCACTAAGGACCCGTTCTACTCCCTCTACCGAAGGGGCACCGAACCCTCCCTGTATCGTAGAAGAAATTCTAATTACAATCGACTAGGGTTTAACCTTAACCGATCTTAATACTAACCTTATAGCTACTTAAGCTACTATAGAAAAGCTATAGAGGCTTAAAGAGTTATAAGACTAAGCCGAAACGCTTAGATTATAGCTTATAGGACAAAACCTAGACGAAACTCTATTAAACCTATACTAGGACCCCTACGAATTATTAGGAAAGGGTTAGGATATTAAGCTTAAAAATATTCTTATATTTACTCTTAACTTTTTATTATAATAATAAGAAGAATAGCTCCTAGACCTTTAATAGTAATTCGAAGGAGATTTAAGGCGCTATTATAATAGTTAGACTTAAATCCTTAGAGTATTAAGTTATATAGATATAACCTATTAGTAGAGATAGTACTAATATATTAACAAAAAGGTACTAATTATTAATTAAAACCTTAAAGAAGATTAGCCCTACTTTAAGGATTAGACCTTAACCCTTATTAAGAATATAATTAGTCTTTAATTTAAAGTAATAAGCTAGCTTAAAAGAGCCTACTAGCTAAAAGATAAGGACTTATAAGAGTTTTATACCTATCTAGATACCTTAGAATATTACTTCTTAAGGGTAGCTAAGAAAGAGAGAGCTCTTTCCTTCTTTACAAAACTTCTATATAATCTTTAAAATAATATCTACTACTATATTATAAAACTCTTAGGGACCTATAAGAAGATAATTAATATTATATATTACTTCTAGGACTTATAATAATTAGAGACGAATTAAAAGCGAAAGTATATATAGACTATAGATAAACCCTTACGAAAGAGGAATTTAATTAAGAGAACTTAAGATAATAAAAGATCTTAAAAGCCTTAAGCTAATAAGAATATATTAATAAAGAACTACTTAAACCTTATTAAAAAGGATAGGAAATATAACTAATACTTTAATTATAAGAGCTAAAAGTATTGATTTAATAAATACCCTAATCCGCTAAAGGATAAATCTACTACTACTATATAATCTACTATATAAGGAAATAATAGCGAGATAGATTAAATCCTATAGATTTATCTCTCCCTATAATAGGAATCTAAACTTAGTTCTTGTCGGATTTACGCTGTGTGCATAAACCCTGAGGCGTGTGCTTGTAGGCGCACACAGGTCGATCGAATGCCACGATTATGGAAGAGAGACGAAAGTGCAATAGAGGTGGGTCGGCAGCGAACAGGTTGAACAGTGGAAGGTCAACACAGTTTAATCAGAATTGCCTTGAGCTCTATTCGTGATTGGAAATGGTGTCAAACTTATTCAATTAACTAGGGAAACAGACAGTATTTATAACTTTGGGTACATAGCAGAATGTCACAGGAAAAGAGTCATGAAAGTCCGAAATAACATGGGGGCATACGAGAGTGTTAGGAAACTCGTTGCTTTTTCCATTTGATGCAGTAGTTGATAATTAGCATCGTATATCATGAAGCGGTGTATATAGATGCAGATTTATGCATCCGATTGCATTAGCGCGCGTATGCATGCACACGCTCGCTTATTGCGGGGATACGCACACACACACATGTTGACAATTACTACTCTTAATAAAGAGGAAACTATATAAATCCTTAATAATATCGATATATAATTAGATTAGATATAGTAAGATCTAAGGGGTAAAAGCACTACTACTACTAAATTAAACCCTACTATATCCTTATAACCTTCTAAAACCTTATATTTGCCTTACTTTTAACTTATTTCTAATCAAAACGATACTATTTTAAGTAATTATAACGAAATCCTTAGAGATTAACTAATAACTCCTCTACTTAATCTAAATTTAGATAAATCTTCTAATAATTCAGACTAATCTAGCTAATTAGACTAAATATAGCTATTTATACTAATTAATAATACTAACTTCGATAGCTCTAACTATAAACCCTTCTCTATATTAAAGCGACTGTAATCTGATTTAGATACTAGCTAAGGCGTAGATAAGGTTAAAAACCCTTAAATTAACCTTACTTTACTTATATAGGCCTTCCTACTAGATTAAAGTAAGTAACTAAAGGTACTAATTTTATTAATTCCCCTATTACCCTTTAGCTATTATTAACTAGTTAGCTACCCTTTCGAAAGTTAATTTCGTTAAGCTATATAGATCGAATTTAATAAGCTTCTAGATATATATATATATATATTTAAACTAATTAATATAAACCTTATTATATAAGTATATTAGATAAATTATAAAGATATTAATTAATTAGATTACCCTTACTACTAATTAATCTTAATAAGATAGGTATTTACTTATAAATCAGATAAATTAGGTTACCTTATATAATTTAAAGTACGCTTATATATATAAGGTAATACCTAAATCCTTAATAATTAAGATCCTTATACTAGTACCCTTATTATTAGAACCTTTTATACGCTTATCGCGATTATTATATAATATAACCTCGAAACCTTTTAGATAGATATAGTTAATATATTCTTAAATAGCTTACTAAAAGAGGAAGTCTACTACTAATACCTACCTAGCTTAGGCTATAAGAAATCAATAATTATTTACCTATATAAAGTAGTATATAGTCTATAAATCGCTAGTAAGAGATAAGAAGATAATATTAAAGAGATACTTCTCTTACTTAGATTTTAATTATACCCTAATAAACCTACCCTTTATATTAATAATCGTATAGTTATTATAGTATTCGTTAATAATTTCCTTACTACCTATTATCGAAGTAAGAGTATATACACTTAATAAATTAAAGACCTTCTCTTATAATAATTTAAAATAAAAGACTATAGCGAATTAACCTAATTTATTAGTATTTAAATTATACAAAGCTAATTAAAACAAAAGACCTAGCTTAATTAAGTAATATATATTAAAAAAATAGTGTCGGATTTACGGGGTCAGCATAAATCCTTCGGCGTGCACAAGCAAGCGAGTGTGCACGGTTGGTCAAATCAGTATACGATTGGCGAAGAATCGTATAGGTCAGGTCGTCGTACGATTCGGCTCAGAATCGGAAGTTAACTTATAATAGAAGAATGCTCCAACTTCATCACAATCATTAAACTTGATTCAACTAGCTATGGAAAACAGGCAATATTTATAACTTCATGAAATCAAGGCAATACGTCAGACTAGAATCTCATAGAAATCAGAAGAAATAGAGTGTTGAAGCTCTTTCGTCATGTGTGTAAGTTGTTGATGTCAATCGTTGAAGATCGTCGTCACGTGGACGTTCCGTCGCATTCTGTCAAGTTCGATAGCTCTTATGGGCTTATGCACCCACTCATGTCGACAAATAGCTACTAGATTTAACCTACTAAATAGTAAACCTATTAAAATACTACTATTAATTACCTAAAGGCTTAATCTAATACTATTAGGACTAATTAATCTAAAGATTATTAAGCTTTATTAATAAGAATATAGATTAACCTTATTCCTTACTATTTAGACCTAGCCGGACACTATATTTACTAACTAACTACTAGCGAAATTACTTATTTACTATAATAAATAGCACTTAAAAGCTATTAATTATCTAATTTCCTACCTATATTAGACGAAATACCTTTCTCTCTATTTTAATAGCGAAATAAGAGCTTCTATCTTTACTATTACCTTAGATATAAGCTTTACTAATAATCCTAATTAAAAGAGCTCCAAAGGATTTATCTTTTACCTATTTAGAGGCCTAGTTAAGTGGAAATTACGTAAGTAAAAGACTATTACTGTGAAAGGCTGAAGCAAGACTTGATTCAATCTAACTAGGCCAACATGCTGCTTACAAAAAGCTTGGAGAAGAGAAGGAGTGGATCAAGCGGAACAACAATAGAAGTAAGCAGACAGGGCGGTGGCAGAACGGAACGTGCGGGGAAGGCTATGTGGCAGGGCCACATAGTAAGAAGCGGGTCTAACCCGTGACATTACCCCCTCCTAGGTCAGAAGGGTGATCTGAGTCGTAACCGTCTGAATTCCAAAACGGCGACGAATCGGGGTCGTTTCGGGACTGGTCCGTTGCTGAATCTAAACTGAGGGATTTAGACCGTTTATTCGCGGCAAGTCGAAAAGGACACGCAGATATCCAGTGACTACATGCACCGCAGTAGTAGCAAAGCCCGTGCTTCGCGCGCTCGGCGATATTAGCGGGGTTATTAAAGCCTAGTGGGAGTGGCGGTTTTGATAGGCGCACGCGGTTTAATTTCACTCGAACTGGTGATGATTGGGCGGCGTTTATACGAACTGGGTCAAGGTCCATTAGGTCTAGCTGGCTTTGGCGAG